ATCCAGGAATCCTCTGTAATGGCAATTGGCAGCTCAACGTGCCTACGCTCGGGACCACTGGTTTTAGTCTCATACAAGATAGCCATGAACCTCCCAGCAAAGAACCGGATAGCACTCGGCGAAAGATGCTGAATGTCATCGTACCTCAAGGTACCCCAGCACTTCAGGAGCCGATAATAGGCCCCTGCTCGGATCCCCATCGCCTCCTTCTCGTTCGAGACGAGCCTTTCCAAGGCCGCTATCATCGCACCTGGGAGTCGTGGGGCCCGGTGCACCGGGATCCCAGGCTTCTTGAGTTCCTTTACTAGAATGTCCCGGGTGGAAAGGAGGACCGTCTTGACCGAGATCCGCTCCTCAAAAGGAAAACCCGAAACCCGCTCAAACCAAGCCAGCGATTTCAAGAAAGCTCCCGGAATCGTGGGCCCACAGGGCTTGTCTGCCAGCATAAACAAGAAGTCAATGGCATCCCCGGCAGAAAAGGGAGGCTCTCGCAGCTTCGCCCGATACATCCAGAAGACAAACTCCTCCAAGAATCTCAGGTATCTTCGCAAGCTGCTATTCCGAATCCTCCCAGCCACTACTGCAGAAGCTCTCTCTGGGTCGAAGCCAGCCGAGAACTCATCCAAGCAAGGTGCCCCGAAGCGCCTCAGCACCGCCATCAAGCGGACGCAGAGAGCTTCACGCTCCCGCCGCTCCGCAGCCTGACGGTCGCCCTCCGATGCCGCCAGGTCCAAGCCGCGCTTCCGCTTGCGTTTCCCCTTCTCGGGAAGTGCCAGGGTCATCACCGGGATCCCAGGCCCAGCCCCCTTGTGCTCGCCTTTCTTGTGTTGCAGTGTCCTCCAGCTCAAGTCATCCCCATGCAGCCCCGTCGCCCTCTGAGACAGCTCAAGCATTCCCTGTGCATTTGCAATGCAGCTGGCGACCCAGGCGACCACATCGTCATAGAAGGGGAGCCCTAACTCATCCACAAGCTGTTGTGCGACCCCCTCTGCATCCCCAGAATTTAACGTAGCCAGACTTTCGCCCCAGAGTCCCACGGACTGAAGCTTATCAGCGCACCTCTGCTCGGCCTCAGGGTCCATAGCGCGCCGCGGCCCAAGCCATGCGACCCACTCTACACCGAGCGCGACCAAGGTCGCGGACTACGAAGCCCACACGAGCTTCAAATCTCACCACTTGACCCTGAGGCTACGTGTCGGTAAACATATTTGTCATGCTCACGAGTAGCCGATAAATCCCACAAACTGTTCCCACAACAAATCCAAAACTTCATAAAACTTCAAAACTTTCAAAAAGTAGAATCACTACTTTTTGCACGCGATAAAGGAGGTGCACAAAGTGCACCAAGGCACATGGGTTTGAACGGGCACACACA